TTGCCTCACTGTGGAGTGAACTCTGACAAGCTGTTTTGGCACTAGTTTTGGTAGTATTTTAAGGATATTGTTTTTTTCCTTTTTAGCCAGAAGGTTTAAAATAGACCTAGGGATTCTTTTGGCTTCACTGCAGCAGCAGTGGGCTCTTCAGCTAAAGCAAAGCAAGAAATACAACCATAGAAACAAAACGGAGCTGTGTGCCAGACTAAGGAGAGTGTTCAAGTAGCTTGTTATTGCCAGCTTGGTTATTTAAAAATATTTAACTTCTTAAATGACTCTAAGAAAAGTCTTAGGTTCTTGCTTTTAAAACGCTATCCCTGTTTTTTTTAATGCTGAAGTAATGCTTATTTTTGTGACAACTGTAAATATTTTCAAAATGAGATCGCTGGTATCAAAGGCAAGTGAGATGATTACTTTTTTATTTTTTTACAGAGGGCTGGCATCATAGCTGCATTAAACTCTCCACCCCTGACATGAAAAGATTTCTTTGGGAGCAGCATGTTTATGAAGTGTTCTTGTTTGCAGTGTGTTTCTAACAGCCTCTAAGAAATGTTTGTACTTCTGGTTTGCTCGTTTTCAAATTGTCTCAATTTCCCTGTAGCAGAGACAAGGAACCAACAAACATAGGTGTGCCTTCAGAAATCCTGGAGTTCCAGAAGTGTCACCAAGCTTCTCACTCTGTCAGGCTGGCTTTGCCCCCTTTCCTCAGTGAGCCATTAGAGCAGTGTGTTTGTGGTTCTTTACACTGTTCATAAATCCCCTGCTTTAATTCAGATGATACTTCTGGCATTGCTAGGTACTGGAAATGTCCCATGCTTGTTTGTTAATTAATGATCTCGTTTTGTAGCTTCTCTTATTGTCTGAGCTCTAAAAGGAAATACAAAGATTTCATGTGGTTTTGAGTGTTTGTAAGCTTTACATGTTTAGCAAGTCAGGGATGGGCAAGGTTTTATCCACCTCAGTGCTGTGGTTTTGTGGCAGGTTTCTTTTTGAAGCAGGGCTTGTTATTCGTTCTCTCCTCTTGGCTACTGTGGACACCAGCACTTTATCCACACTGTGGCTTGGATACTACAAATGGTGGTGCAGCTGTGGGGAGAGCTTGACTGGATTAAAAAAAAAATAAAAACCAAGCCAAACCAAACCACCACTGCCAAAAAAGCCCACCAAAAACCCAAAACACACTACAACAACAACAAGAAACAAAAAAGAAACCCAAAACACACAAAACACCTTTTTGCCCTAGTTCAGACTGTCAGGAAGTCCCAAATCAGCAGCAGGAATGGGAGAAGGGACTGCTGGCATTGCCACTGGAGTGCTCACCCAACTCAGCACTGAGGGTTGCTGGGTTTGTCCTGCACCAGGACTGGCTGCACCAGTAAAGCCAGGGGATAACAGGGCATGCTAAACCTGTGCTGATCCCTCTTCCCATCCAGAATCCAACTAGAAGCTGTTCCTCTACCAGATTCACGTTTCAGAATCACTGCAGTGTTTTTGTAAAAGCAATATTTCCTAAAAGTTGAAAGATAGCAGTTTGGATATGCTTAGGATGTCCATCAGCTTTTACCCTTCCCTTCTTCGAAGGAGGAGCTGTCTCTGCCTGGCTTTGTTGCCTTCTCAAACTCTGGCAGGCCTTGAGCACTTCTGGATATGGCCAGTACTCTCTAAGAAATGAGCTTATTAAAATATACTGGCTTGATCTGTTATTTTGAAATTTGCATTAATTCCTCCATCAGTTTTTTTCCCTTAGAAGTCACTTTAAACCACCCTAAATGTCTTGTTATTAATCAGTTTCTGGCAAGATCCTTAGTCCTTTAATCAGCCTCTGAGAATCTTTTGTAAATAATTTCGCACATCTTTTAGTGTTGATTTTTTCTTCTTTTAGTAGATCCTTGTGATTTTTTTGTTTGGTTGTTTCATTTTAAGTTGTTTTGTTGGGTTTTTTTGAGACAAGACATTTTAAAACTAATTTTGGAAGTAACCTTGTAAATATCAAAAGTTCTCTAAATAAGTACATCATCAGCTATGCAAGGTGCTAACGTTAGAAGGTTTATTTTGATATTAGTTAATGTATTCAAATCTGAAAATAACTGCTCTGCTTCTGCTGCTTCCTCCATTACTATTTATAGATTTCTTATCTTGTCTGTTATTGGTCTGTGTAATTAACAAGCCATCAGTGGGAATTTTCCTAATCACAAAAGACTCTTAATTGTAAGTACAAAAAGGTCTGTGCCCAACTGTGAGCAGACAGAGATGAGGATAACTTACCCATGTATCCTGTCCCGTGTTTGGTCCTGAGCCTTGCATGTCCCAGTCCCTTCTGCATCCAGTCAAACACTTAGAAATCAAGGTTTGGTGAAAAGGGAAGGTTTGTTCAGTTTAAAACAGCTGGGTTTGTCAGCAGAGAATCCCTGGCTGCTTGTGTTGTTCCAACCTGCCCTCCCCAAAGCCTGGCAGATGCCTTGTGTGAAAAAATGCCTTGGGAAGGAGCAAATGAGTTTCTGGTGGTTTGCTGCAGGTCAGCACCACAACCTTCACCTCCTCTTGGTGCTTATAAGGAGCAACACCTTCAGACTTGGTGGTATTTGAAATTTCTGGTGCTGGAGATTACTTAAATTTCCATTATCCTATTTAGTTCTTCAGTTTCTCTGACTTTGAAAGGAGACAAAATGCTGCTTATATTAAAAGCAGCAAGGGGAGGCCCCTTTAGGTACATTTTTCTCTGAACTTATTGTTAACTTCACTTTTGAAGTAAAATTTCCTTGGAAATACAGCACTTCATAACACTCTGGAAGAGTCATCATTTTCTAATAAGTACTTTTCCTGGTGAATAACATAATGTCCCACCTGGTGGGAGGTGGGAAGGAGCTTAAAACACAATGAAACCCTGAGCCTGCTTTACTTACCAGGTGATTGATCAAACAGGGAAGGAGCAGCCTTCATTCTTACAGGTGTTACTTTCATATTACTGCTCCCAGGTTACAGCTTTTATAACAAACTGGGCTACTTTTAAATAATCCTAGACTGCTTTCAAATAATCCTAGACTACAAAACTCCCTGGTATTTCACTCCAGCATGAGGGGAGTATTGATGAGAAAAGAGCTCTTGGCTTCCAATGTTTTGTAAATGGATTTTTAACTCTTGTTTTGGACACTCACCTCGCCTGCTTTGAAGGGTATTTGAATCAAGTGATTTCATATTACCAAACCAGAGGCAAAGCTTTGGTGAAAAAGCAGACCCTGACTTATGCAAAATTACACAACCAGAGAAGGGCTGATGAGAAAGAAATTATTTCATCTTTGTGATGATTTTAAATGTTCAGGCTTCTGCAGGTGGTAGGAATTCAAGTTGGTTTTTAGTACAGTAAGTAATGATCCAGCATTTTCTATATGTCGAGTAAAGGTGATCTTCGGATTAAGCAGTGGGTTTTCAGAGCTGTTTTCTACTTTGACAGTCACTGCTGAGGAGCTCTCCTGGGTTTGTATCACTCTGAATTTACTGGACAAATGTAGCTCGCTAACAAGGGGGATGGAGAAAACTATTCCTGTTTTTGTTGGATGCTGTGAATTTAAATTTAGAAATATTAAGAATTCTGAAATGCAGTTTAAAAGCATATGAACATAGCAATTACATTACTTACAGAAAAGGGACTTTTTAGTATGGAGGAGATTAATTTCAGAAGATGACCGTGTGTGTAATCGTATTTCAGATGAAAAGAGCCACAAAGCCTGATGCAAGAAATTCAGATTTGAGAACTCCCTTTTGATTAAATTATATATATTTCTCTGATCTGTCTAATTCTTAATAGGGTATTAAGTGTATAATAATGGAATATAGAAGAGTAGGAGAAGTGAATGATGATGTATTTAGCAATGTTATTTGCAATTAAAACCCTGGGGAAGGGTTATGGTTCTGTGATCAACTTCGTACAAAAATAGCACGGTCACCTTGTCCTCTCAGATTGATTTTGCTTGCCTTAAAGGAAATATCTTTTAGGTCATTCAGCAAGCTGCAAACCACCCATCCTTACAGGTGGGCATTATAGCATAATTCCTTACAAAATAAAGCTGATGATGGAATTACTGGTTTTGTAAAGATTCTCTTTGAATATTTTTAAAAGGAATGATGGTTTTCTGCTGTGTTGAACTGCTGGATGATGCACGGTGTGTGTTGTAAGAGGGATTTTGCAGTATTTGAGAATAAAGAAGCATTTGTTTTTATAAGCAATATATTTATTGCCAGCTCTGTCCCAACCGTCCCCCTCAGCAGACACTTCGTAATAGGTTAAAATGAGTGGCTTTGGTTTTGCTTTGTTTTGGGATGTGAAAATGATTACAGCTAAATCTGGAGCTGTATAAAGAGATGTAAAACACTGCAGAAACTGGGAAGGTGCTTGTCTGAGGCAGGAAAATCTGGGGCGGTGGGTGTGTTAAAGGAAGGAACTAAAAGTCTCTATTAGGTGGGAGCTCTACCATTTTTAATTGCTTCTTTTTGCTTGACTGACTGTAGTTTTCCCCCTTATTTTTTGTTCTCTCAGCTTGCAAGTGACACCACTTAAGATGTTTTTATTCATTAAGTTTAACTTTTGCCAGCAGGCAGGGGGGAGGGCAGGGGAGCTCGTTGTTTCTTGTTTTTCAGCAGTACTCTTTCAGTTCAGTTTCTGGAAGGTACTTCTCTCCCAGCAACAGGAGCTTTTAGTAGCTGATGTTGGGCTGTGTTTCACTGGCAAGGGAGGCTATTTGCATCCAGAGCTTCTCCTTGGGAGAATTCTGGAGCAGGGAGAGTGTAAAAAGAGGCAAAGATGTGTCTCAAAGCTGTCAGCTTTTAGCAGTGAGCAATGTATTCAACTACACACTCCTGAAGCTACACTAGCCCATCCTGCTGGGACATTGGTTAAAAGAATATATTGACAATAACTGGCAGAACTCTTGCAGAATTTTAATCAGATGTGATCAGGTGGAATGGAAGGAAATTCATACTTTTGCACTGTCATTTCTCCTCAGAAAACCTGAAAAAGGAGTGCAGTACCTCATTGAACGAGGATTTGTGCCGGACACTCCCGTTGGGGTTGCCCATTTCCTGCTGCAGAGGAAAGGGCTCAGCAGGCAGATGATCGGAGAATTCCTGGGAAACCGGCAGAAGCAGTTCAACAGGGATGTCTTAGAGTGAGTATGGTGTGGGGAAGAGGTGAGCACGGCCCATGGTGGGAAATCTGCTGTCTCCATGGTGGGAAATCTGTTGTCTCCATGGTGGGAAATCTGTTGTCTCCATGGTGGGAAATCTGTTGTCTCCATGGTGGGAAATCTGCTGTCTCCATGGTGGGAAATCTGCTGTCTCCATGGTGGGAAGTCTGCTGTCTCCGTGGTTCATGGAAGTGCTGCTTCATTCCACTGCCCATCCTGTTGTTGGCCAGCCTGTTCCTGGGGGTCCTTAATTGTGCTAACTACTTCATTTTCACTCTGCACGTGTGCTTTACACCTTGGAATGGGAAAAGGACTTTTGACACTCTAACAGAACTTGCAATAATGGGAAGTCTGTGAGCATTATTGCATAATAGATAATAAACTTTAGGTGAGGATTGGAAAGGGTGTGACAATGTCAGGCTCGTTGTTTCATTTTGCTTTTGCATAAAAGGAAAAATACTAAAAGCAAGGAGAATAAATTACTTGCTGTTAATTTTCATCAGCTACAGTGTTACTGGAAGAAAAATATGAGCTACTGTAATTTGTCATTATATATCTATACATTTAAGGAAAAGCTTCTAAAAGTGCATAGTGCTTTCTGTGGTTTCTGCATTACAGTGCTGTTACTTGCAGTGATTCATGTCTGGTCATTTCAAAACTAAAAGCTAACCTTAAAGAAAATTTATAAGCCTCTGATTTTAAAGTAGTCCTTAAACAAAGTATTAGAATGACATCGTTCATGTTACTGATTATATTAAAATGGTTCCCTTTTACTTTTTGTCAGCATTGTATTTTCAGAGCAAGAAAGTAATTATTTCTCCATAAATGTTAACTGAAAGTCATGGCAAATGATGGGGAGATGAGAATTACAGTAATAATAAGAGAGTATCCAAACAAGGTTATTTTTTTTCTCTGCATTTCAGAACGTTCCTAGACACAGAGCCATTTGGTACAGATTATTATGCCTGCTGCAGGCTGTCTGAGATATGATATTTTGAGCAGCATGAACTATTTATTATTGTTGGAGGCATTGTGATAGTTGATTGGCCTGGAAGCACAGAGCTAGTAATTATTTGTGGCAGTGGTACATCACTTACAATGGTCAGATATCCATCATTCCAGCAGCTCTTCTGTTAAAAAACACAAGGGTCTGCTCACATGTGCACATTCTCATTGATCTGTTATTTTCAACTTTCCATCATGGCTTACCTGCAATTATTGCAATTGCTACTGAAACTTTATAAAACAATTCCATGAATCCTTGTCAGATGGAAACCAAAAAGTTTTTCCTGTTTCTAAATCTTCCCTTTGGTACTGTGTTAGAGATGAAGAGACATGATGTCAATCTGTTTTTGTCCTAGCTGTGTGGTGGATGAGATGGACTTCTCCACAATGGAGCTGGATGAAGCACTCAGGAAATTTCAGGCCCACATCCGTGTCCAGGGAGAAGCCCAGAAAGTAGAGCGGCTCATTGAAGCTTTTAGGTAGGATATGAAATAAATCCTTCAGAAAGCTGCTGCTTTGCAGTCACACTGCAGAACTGGCAAACTTGGGCTTGTCCAAGTTGCTTTCATAATTATGTTTTCAGTGTCCTTTTGAGCTACAAACACTTTCAAATATGTCTTGTTTCGGGGGAGGGCATTGCTAAGTATGGAATAGAAAGTTTAATTTGCTGGTGTTGTTCACATGTGGCATTTGTATTAATAGAACTTTCTCACAATTCTTTCTGGCATCAGTTGAAAATATACTCAAGGATTTTTGAACATCTCTAAGAATATATTTGGATTTAGTAGTTTATATGAGTGGAATTATAAACCCATGCACTTTTTAGGGTATGTATACTCCTAACTTTTCATTAAACACTTCAACAACAGTGAGAGAAAAAGGAGCCACTTATGAGTACGGACACAGGTGTATCCAGGGCAGTATTACATGTATTACATGGCAGTAAGCCAAAATCAATGCTGTGTTCTTACCTGCTGTTGGGGTGTGAATCACTAAAAAAAAGGGATATAGAAGTTACTGTAGTAAGTGAAGTTACAGTGGAAGTAGAAACAAACTCCTTGCACGTTCAAGGATTGTCTTATGAAAACATGTGGATGCAAAGCTGAAGTTGCATCTGGAAAAGGAGCAGTAGCTTGCTGAGGCTCTGGAATGCAGCAGGTGGGTTGTTTGGTGAATGTGAGCAGAACCTCCCAGCCCTGACAGCCTCCCCTGGTGTTCCCAGCCAGCGCTACTGCATCTGCAACCCGGGCGTGGTGCGGCAGTTCCGCAACCCCGACACCATCTTCATCCTGGCCTTCGCCATCATCCTGCTCAACACCGACATGTACAGCCCCAACGTCAAACCCGAGCGCAAGATGAAGCTGGAGGACTTCATCAAGAACCTCAGGGGTAAGACACCCTAAGGGCAAAACTCCTAAAAACTTCTCCCTGGCACTGTCCTTGCAGGACATTCTGTGTCTCCTGGGAACAACTTCAAGCTGCTGTCACCTGACTGCCATTTGGACAGACTTCAGTCTGTAACAGCAAAACCAGAATTAATTGTGTAATATTTTGTCGTTTTTATCTTGTCTTTCTTGGTGGATGGATATATTGTCAAGAACTTTCATTTTAGGACGAGTAAAACCAAAATACTTGTGGTGTTCTGGAATTTCAGATCATGAAAATGAAAGTCCTGGTTGGTGATTTTTATTCCCTGAGATTGATATAAGGCAGCAATGAGCAACCTGTGCTAAGCAGATGTTTCAGCTTAGCAAAGTTTAAGTTAGTGCTGAGATTTTATTGTAAAATCCACAAATACTCCAAAGGCCTGATATACATCTCTTGGCATAATGCTGCAGTTACATTCGTGGAATTAGCCTCAGCACATTCTCTCTGAGCTCCAGCAGGCATGCCAGCAATTCTTGTTACTGCAGGCATTTTTGCAACAGGCTACCTTGCTGCAGCTGTAAATCACAAAGGGTGGGCCGTGGAAGGCTTGGCACAGAACAAAGGTGGTTTTTCTTGCTTCTATCTGCAAACAAATTGTATTTTATCACTGTACTTTTTATGGGAGCAGTTGTTGCACTGGGTGACAAAATATTCTATCTTTGTTTCTGAATGGGAGACAAGAGTTTATTGCTTTAAAACCTGTTTAAAAGTGACATGCATCTCCCTGTCCCCAGAAATCCAGCTTTAAGTCACTTAGTGAGATTGGACCCCTTCCACTGCTATTAAAAATTCAGGATCAGGCACTCAAGACACTGTTGCATTTGTTAGAATGCCATGCCAATGATAATCACACAGTGCTAAACAATAATCTTGGGTCCAGGCTATTTTGTTGATTTGTTTTTCCAGAGTTAACTAGTTCTTTTAAAAACGTTATAGGAAGTATTGGTTAAATAATTTTACTGCATTCATAAGGTTCTCACATAGGAAATTATTTCATGAACAGCGTTGAGTATTTTTGAAACAGAGGCAGAATTAAGTGGTTCTTCTGCTTCCTCCCAGGGGTGTTCTTCTGCTTCCTCCCATTCCTAGGAGAATGTCATATGGAGGTTTTAGTGTCTAAAAAGGAATTTAACTCACTGTAGCTTTAATACCAAACAGAGGAAATGTGAAAGAAAAAAAATCCTTAAGAAAACAACCTCTTTATGTCTTAGTTTTAGATGGGAGTTTTTAAACAAAAAATCCCCAAATCTGGGTTATCTCCATCAATGTCTTGGTGTATGGGCAGCAAACTTCTGGACCAAAATCTGTGCTTAAATCACGTTCACACCACTTCTTCTGCCTGGCTGAGGCAGTACAAGGACACACAGGAGGAGCTGGCTGGCAGATGGGAAAAACCAGCAGGCAGACAGCACTGGGAGGGCAGGAAAACAGAGACTGCTCAGGTTTTGTCCTCTGCAGTGGGGGTCAGATCCCTGCTAACAGAAGCTTGGCCCTGCAGGGGTGGATGATGGGGAGGACATCCCGCGGGAGATGCTGATTGGGATCTATGAGCGCATCCGCAAGCGCGAGCTGAAGACCAACGAGGACCACGTGTCCCAGGTGCAGAAGGTGGAGAAGCTCATCGTGGGCAAGAAACCGGTGAGTGCCCTCTGCTCTGCCATGGCAGGCAGGGCAGCAGAGCTGTGCTGCTCCCCAGAACACACTGGTCCATGAATGGCAAAGGGCAGGGACTGTCAAAATAATTCCCTATAAGGTTGACTTAAATCCTGGAGTATCCGTGCAGATGAATTTTGGTTTTGCAGTCATAGGTGGCATGATGATGTTAGAAGTCTTAAAATCCTTTATTGTGAAGCTTTACAATTCTGAAATATCTGCATTTTATGCAGTTCTCTTGTTTATTTGTAAAGAATCAAGGTGCTTTGTTAATGTGATATTGCAGAGAACTGTATTTCAAAATTTGCACTGTCAGTTATGGCGTCATAATTTACAAGAGTAACAGAGAAGTTCTGTTCACATCAGCATCTTTGTCACCTGCTCAGCTGCCTTCATGACCTGGGATTGTAAGGGGACGTGGGGTCATTTTATCTCAGGACATATCTGGAGATCAGGTCCCAGGGATTCTCGTGCTGGGTTTGAGCATCCAAAGACAGGACTGTTTTGGGAAAAGTCCTGAAATATTTTACTATATAAGTGAATCTTCAAAGCATCTTTTAGAAAAGGAGAGAGAAGAGAAAGGCCACAGCATTTTACCTCCAATTAAGGAGCACAGAGGTTTTTAAGACCAGTATTTTCCATGCTAGAAAAGGTAACTAATGTGGAGAGGGACCAGTGCATGCTCGGCCTTCTTGAATTCAAACCTTCATGTCAGTAGTCACAAAGAAAGCCCGGAACAAAGGCAAAAACCCCTAGACTTGCATGGTTTTGAAGCCCTATATCTGGTTTTTATCACCTCCAGGGAACTTCACCACAGCAGGGTCTGATGGAGGGAGATGTGCTCTTGAGGAAAAGAACATGGATATCAAGATTCTCCCTATTACTGCTAAAGGCCTTTGAATTGTGATCTCTTCTCAGACAAGCCTTAGTCAGGGGATGGGAGAAGAGAATGAGGGACTACCAAAAATCTAATTTTGGTCTCTTTCCAATAAAGAATGTGCTGAGGAGATCTTTGAAGAAGCAGCAGAAAGAAGCTTTTTATAAAAGCTTATACCTGTTTTTGAGAAGAAAGGAAATAAATATTCTGAAGCCGTTATTCAGGCACTTAATATGAAACTTTGTTTCTGTAGTTGGGGATTTAGATTTATATATAGGCTTCTGTGGGAGATGGTTTTTTTCATGTTTCTTTTTTTATTCAGTCATGTGGCAATTCAAATCCTAAAACTAATCCTGACCTTGTAAATTAAATGGGATTAAGAAAACAATGCCCTTGGTGGAGCCCTAGCTTGAAGGATTCTTCTGGTGGGAGACTTTTTAATTGTGTGCAAGGAAATGAGGGAAACAGGCAAGAGTCTTTATTGATAGCTCTATTTGTTTTTACTTTATAGGCATTTAGTCATAGTCAGAGCGTGCCGTATTTACTTGCTATGATACAGTTCTGTGTTTCTCTGAAGTTTAATCAACTTGTATGTATCTTTCTACTGTAGATTGGATCTCTCCACCATGGACTTGGTTGTGTAGGTATTTCTCTCCTACTCCTTCAAAATTTATAGTCATTGTAACTGGCAGCATTTTCCTAAACTGGAAATAAGACATTCTGTTACATTTTAAAATTTTAAATTACTGATGTTTTTCAGGCAACATTAAGTTGTGTTACAGTGTTATAGTAAACATTCTCCAAAGTATAAAGATTTTCTTAAAAATTTATTTCCCAGAGGCTTCTTAATTTATTGCCAAGGGTCTTCTAGACCTTTTTAGTACACTTTTTATTTATTTGAAATGTTATTATCACTACAGAAATTAGCTGGTAAAGAATAAGCAAATAATTAACATCAGAGTTTGCACCTCACCTTTCCACTTGAGCTGTGGTTTATTCTTTCTGCTCCGTTTGAGAATTGAATGATACTGTGGAAAGATACTGCCAGTTAAAGTTCACTTCTGAATGGTAGATGAACATTGAAAATATTGATTCCAGATTTAAATTACAGCCATGGTTAGTAATGAAGCTAAAACTGTTCTTAAAATACATGAGTTCATGGATTTCTTTTGGTGTTGTTAACAGGATTCTCATCATTTGCATTTGAAAGAAATTAAGTCTCACTCAGCAGCTTCAGAGATACCTTCAGCAGACATTTCCAATAAGAAAATGGAAACTCAGTCTCGATTTTCTTGCTGGCTTGAGAAAATAACACAGATTGAAAATGCATTTGCTTTGTCCTGATGTCACCATTTTCTTGGTGACATTAAGGAATGAACAAATTGAATTAACTCGGCTGACAAAAAGTAACCTACAGCATATCACAAAAGCTAAACTTGCTTTGCATCCTTTCTTCTAATGCTAATAAAAAATGCTTGTGGAAGGAACCATCCCTTGCTTTGAGCTTCCACTAAGATTAATCTCAAGTTCTTTCACATTTCTATCATTTCACAAAATAAAACTCTATCTCCAGTAGAGCTCCCATCCTGTTAGGGAGCATTTTAGAGAACTTTGATGAAGTTTGAATGTCCTGCAAGTTTGTGGCATAAACTCTTTATGTTCTTTTTGTTGTTCCTTTGATGAAAAGGTCTAATGGCCTTAGAGGTAAAAATATTTAAAGCATTGAAAAAAAAATTAAAACAACATTCTGTGTATGAAAAATGCTCTTTCTTGGCTAAAAGTTGTTATATGAACCATGAATTTTTGTATTATTGCAGGTGCTCTCTCTCCCCCACCGGAGGCTTGTTTGCTACTGTAGGCTGTTTGAAGTTCCAGATCCAAATAAACCTCAGAAGCTTGGATTGCACCAACGAGAAATATTTTTATTTAATGATCTTCTCGTGGTATGTATTTCCAGGCAGAGAGAATGAGGTGTTCAGAAATCCTATCTCCGTGAAATCACAGGCGATGAAATGTATGAGCATTCCTAAAAATAAATGTCTGTTACCCTGTATTCCAACAGTCCTGGGATGATGAAGAGATTTCTATCTTAATTTTTAAAGTTCTGTATAATTTGCTTTTAAACTGAAGTTTTTTATTGATGACTACACTCTGTAAGAAGGTATTTGATGCAGTAGCTTTTACTATAGTGAAAAAAACCTCACCTCCAGTTCACCCATTGCCCTAAAGGATAAAGAGAGACATTATTTATTCCATGAATAATGAATTCAAGGTACTTGTGGAAAACCAAAATTACATCCTACTTTGTATTCCTCAGATGTTCTATAAACCAGATCTGTTTGTGCATTGAAATAGGAATAGAGTCTGTTGAAATAGATTTTACAGCTGACTTTACTTTTTAGTGTGCACTTACCCTCACAGACTTTAACTTGACCCAGTCTTTTGAAAAGCAGACACACAGAACTCAGGACAGCTTGGAATTATTTGGTTGATTTACTCCTAAAAATAGGAAAATTTGTTGCACTCCATTTGGAATGCACTTGGCTGTTACCTGAGAACTACACGAAATATCTCGTATTTTATTAGGAAAAAAGCACACCTCATATGCATTGTTCTATTGTGTGTGGGATTTTATATACCTGCAGACCTTAAAACCGGGAATTAAATAAGAAACATTAACCCTTTTGCTTCTGAGTATAACCTAGGAGTTGTAAATGGGAGCTTGAGTGGAAACTGATGGTTCATTGTTTTCTGCTATTGCCTCCACATTTTATTACTTACTCAGATATCAGTAGTTTTATCAAACTGTTTGGGGAATAATATAAACCAAATTTGTCAGTGTGGTAGCGCCTAAATTTGGGGAGGTTTAAGGATAACTTAAATGCATTTTCATTTTTTGCTAGCACAGAAAGGATGCAGGATTATTTTTGGCTTTGGAATTTCAAGTAGTAGAGTTCTGGAGGAGAGAGAACTCAAAGGCTTTGTGTCTGGATAAAATATTACCCTTCTGCTTTAGAGAGATGCTGCTGCAGAGCTTTGTTTTTTTCAGTAGCAGAAGATTAAATACAGCACAAGCGTTTTAAAAATGAAAAAATGGCAAGTGCATTTTTTTCAGACAAATTTATAACTTTATTTTAAATAAAATGTTTTCTCTTACGCTAATTCTTCGGAGCAATAATTTTCCACAGGCACATTTGGTGGAAGGAATATTTCACTTTGTTTATCTGATACCTTTCAGGTGACCAAGATTTTTCAGAAAAAGAAGAACTCTGTTACATACAGTTTTCGACAGTCCTTTTCCCTCTATGGAATGCAAGTTCTTCTCTTTGAGAACCAGTGTAAGTATTTCCTCTCTTTTTAGAGGACCACTTGGTTCATTAATAAAACAAAAATTGTGTAAAAGAAAGGGATGGACAGGACTTGATTCTGAGTTTAGGAATAAAATTGCTCTGGATTTAACTTAGTCCTAAAGTTTAAAGCAAGATGCTGTCAGTATATAAAATAGTTTTTTGGTTGTAGTCAGAAGCCAAATCTCCCCAAATGTGTTTGTGATTATTTGTAAAGAAAAAAGGATTGCCAAGAAACAAGCACATCTGTTGCTGAGTCAGTGGTACAGTTAGCTGGAACTGAGTGATAATAAGTAATGACTCTTATAAAGATATTTGTAATTCCAAACACTATTTAATTTATTTTCCTGATTTATGGCTTAACTTTGCCTAGATAATATATGCTACCTCAAATTTAAATACAAAGCATAAACTTTCATTTTCTGACACCTTTTGTTTATGTCTCTTACAATCTGCATCAGTCCAATGTTCTTTTTATCTTTAGTGCTTCTTAGCAGACAAAACCCCAAATAATTTAACTAAAATCCTCCTCCTAAGCCCATAAACAGGATCAGTAGTGACAGCAGAGCAGAGTTGTTGGTGTGGTACATAGGGAGACAGCCTGACTGAATTCATGGTTTGTGGCCAGATCTTCACCCCCTGATAAATTGGGTCCAGCCCAGTGTGAGCTGCAGTAGTTCCTGTGCTTTTCTGTCATAGAAGGTTCTTAGTTTTGCCTTGTCCTTGAGAATGTGCTCCCTAAAAATCCAATGCTGTTACTGAGTCAAAGCCTCTGGAGATTTCCAAGGGGAAGGTTTTGCAGAGCTCACAGCAGCTCTGTAGCCCACAGATTGTTTCTATGCTTCTACATGCATTCTCTCTCTCTTGTGAATGCATTATATGATACAAAATTCAGTTTTGGAGGGGAAGGCTAAATACGTCTGTCCTGGATTCTACTAAAAATAGAAGGATCTCTGATGCCATGTTAAATAAAATGTATTTTAAAAATACAGGCATGCTAAGTAGAAACACTAATCAAATAAATTTAAAAATCACTATAGTGAAACAAGAAGTAAAGGATTGGATTCCTCCCAGTAAACTGGAGGCATTTTAACTGAGACACTTCAGGAGGGCTTCTGAGTTGAATTCACTGCAGTGAATGAATCAGTGAACAGACTCTAATATTGGTGCCTCTTAGGTGGGATGCACAATTTTCTGATTGGGAAAGAGAAGTATTTGTCCCCTTTTATTTGTAAAATTCAATATTCTTGGTCTCCCCTGGCCCCAGCAAGCTTTGGGCTGTTTTGGCCAGAGTCATCAGTAACTCTGTGTGGAGCAGCTGTTCCCTCGTTTCAGGGGAATAAAAGTCAGTGTTGCTACAGCAGAAGCAGCAAAAATATTGGTTTGGCTGCTGGTGAGGTTGAGCAAATGACTAGTACTGGTGATAGAAGAATTGACTTTTAATGATAGAAGTCAGTTATGTTGAGGGATAGATGAGCTCTAAAAGGGAAAACATATCACATATCTCTAATAAGTAAATAGGCCATAAGGGAAAATCACTAACAAAATACAGAGGGGGAGCAGATCACTTAGGAGAGAGTGTGACTGAAACCAAGAAATATTGATGTGAAGGTTTCCTGATACTTGATCAATACAGTGGAGAGAAATATCTCTGGTAATAAAATCTGTGTGTTTGTTATGTGGAAATTCCTTCTTGGCTCGTATGTGGGGGCAGCCCTGGTAACTTTGGGGTTGCTAGGTTTCCTTGTGTGGTTTTGTAAACATTTTTATTCTTGCCCCTGGAGTGGTACAGAGCTGTTTGCTGCATTCCCTGTGCCAGTGTTCCTAACCTCCCACCTGAGCCTGCCCAGTACTGGGACCCCCTGGCTTCTGTGTGAGGTATTGACAGCAAATCTCAGCAAAACTCCCAAATCCTTCCCCTCAGGACCATTTGAGCCTCGGGGCAGTTGCTCTGTTTTCCCTGAGGATTGTAAATGGATTTGCTTCACTTTTAGTTGCAGCTTTGATCTGGGAGTTTAGGTACCTTAAAAAAAGCCAAAGTTAAGGTACCCTGAAAAAGCCCAGCACGTGCACTGGTTTCTCAATAGTTGAAGTCTTGTTGAAACCTCATGGCTTTGAGGGAGGGGAGTGCTTCACTTTATCTGCTGGCTCTTGAGGGAGAGAGGTTTTAGTACATGGGAGCCCTTGAGATTGGGCTCAAATACTGAAGTAAATATTTGAGAGCTTTAGCAAACCGAGAGGGGAAGGCAGCTGAGTAAAAGAAAACATTGAGTTAAAATGCACACGTTGAGGTTTGCTTACACCCCGTTGCTCCAGTCCCTGCTTCAAGCAAAGACTGATTTGTTTTTTACAGTGGGACATACTTTCATTCTGAATATCTTTCTGTAAATGAGCCTTCTGTCCCAGGAGATATTTTTGACCAGCTGTTAAAATTTCAGAAGAACACCTAGAAAAGAAGAAAAGACATTTTCCTGAAAAATCTGCTTTTTATTAATAAAAGTCCATAATATAGGTCAAAAGAAGTGTAAAAAAACCAAATCAGTCCTTTTACTTTTTCAGTATGTGATTTCACTGATACTTTTAACTTTATTTAAAAGAAAAAAAGGAAAGTAGGATGTACAGGGAACACAGTCTAATAGGAAATACTAAATCTGTACCTGTTTGTCTTCCTGCAAATGGTGAGTTAAAAGTAAAAGACAATTTGAAATGTCTTGAAGTAGCCTTTGTGCTCAAGCAAAACTTTGGTCACAAGTGGGTAAGGTAGATCATGGGATCTATTCTATGGAAGAAATATTATCCCCTTAGTTTTTGCGCTTTTTTTCTGCTGTTTTTGATATATATTGTATATTGTACCTTAAGGGTAGGTACTGAACAAAGATATTTGTTCAGTATTTGACTGTTGACCTGCTCCAATGTACCTTAGAGATTTTATTCTAATTTTGTGCTGTCAGACTTTTATTTCTCTGACTTTGTATCCTCTGTGGTAATATTAGTAAAAAGCTTTCAGTTTTGGTGGGTATTTTTATTAAAAGAAAAGTAATTGTAATAATCAGAGCTTAGTTTTTCTTGCCTTTTTCTTCCAGATTATCCTAATGGCATTCGGCTCACGTCAGCTGTTCCAGGAGCAGATATCAAAGTACTCATAAATTTCAATGCACCAAATCCTCAGGACAGGAAGAAGTTTACAGATGATTTGAGGGAATCGATTGCAGAAGTTCAAGAAATGGAAAAGCACAGAATAGAGTGTAAGTACAAAGGTACATATAATAGAGCATTTTCCAGCTAATCAAACTAAGAAAATTCTGAAGATGTGTATAACGATTAGAACTCCTTAAAAGTTCTGAATCATGTGGGTTTTCCCATGACTTTGCCTCAAGAAGAAGGAAAAAAACCAATAATTCCTTAAGCCCCATCTGAGTTCATTGACTCCTATTTACTGCAGTGTAGCTGCAGTAGAATTTATCCTGGACAAGCTGCAAATAACAATGGACAGAGGAGAGCTGGGTCTGTGATTTGTAGTATAAATTACAGCAAGAATTTTAGGGATAATGTGGACAGAGGACAGATGGATCTGTGATTTGTACTGTAAATTCCAGTAAGATTTTAAGCATAATTTGGACAGAGGACAGATGGATCTGTGATTTGTAACATAAATTACAGCAAGAATTTTAGGGGTAATTTACCTCACACTGAAATTCCCAATGATAGCCCTTCCAATAAGCTTCACAGACTTTTTCTTCATTTCCATGTTGCAATTCCTGTAGTCAATAAGGAAACCGTGGTCCAAACTGATTTATTTTGCTGGTAGTCCCGTGAGTGTCCAAACACGAAATTTTATCCCATTTTTCCAAAAGAGGTCCTGATCCATATCCAGCTGTTGGTAGTGATTCCCAGAGAGGCTCCCTGGAACAGAGGCTGTACAGTGTTAAAGGAATAAAGTAGGGATTTATTAAAAGCCCTTCAAGGGCAGTACAAGAGCCTGGCCATGGCTACACCCAGGATGGACCCAAGATGGACCCTGTGTCATGAGTTTTCCCACTTTTATAAGTTTGGGTCCATTTCCATATTGGGGTTCATTGTCCAATCCCAGCTCCAGGTTCTGCAGTCCCACCCTCCCAGATTCTCTCCTCAATTCGCTGCTGTTTGCACTTTTTGGGGCTGAAGCTGCAGCGATGTCCTTGGTTCTGGGGCTGGAAAAGGATTTTTCTCTGGCTAAGCTGTGAGGAGAACGTGCCAGCACTTTATATGCAGTTCAGAGTTATACACTAAGGCAGTACAGAGTCTGGAAAATAGGACAGCTAAATCTCAAGGTATCAGCAGAGGGGCTCAGCTCCTGTCTGGCGTTCACTCCACTCCCAGACACAGGGATGTTCTCGGTTGTTTTATCCCCATGAACACCAATGTAAAAGCCCCCGTGTGTGTTGCAGCCGAGCTGGAGAAGCAGAAGGGGGTGGTGCGTCCCAGCATGTCGCAGTGCTCCAGCCTTAAGAAGGACTCCGGGAACGGGACACTGCCCAGGGCGTGCCTGGATGACAGCTACGCCGGGGGCGAGGGGCTGAAGCGGAGCGCGCTCAGCTCCTCGCTGCGGGACCTGTCCGAAGCAGGTAAGCGCTGCCTCTCCTCCCTGGCTCTCTGCATGCACAGCTGCCTCCACCATGCCCACGGAGCCCAGCTCGCTCTGGGCCTCCGGAAATAGCAGTGTTGGAATCGCACACTTCCAAATAGCTTCCCCCTCCCCCCACCCCCGGCTCGTGGTTAATTTCTGTTTGTTTTTTTGCCCTTGTTCTGTTAAGCGGCCACTGTTTGAAAGCATTTAAGCCGTTGTAGGTTGCTATAGAAACTTTTAAAGGACAGTGAAGACAGAGGAAAAATTGTAAGTTTTTAATCAAACGGAAATGATTGACTTGTGCTAGGAGTAACTCGCTTAGTTTTCCTTGATTTTTTTTTTTCATCTCCTTTGCTTTTTCCCCCTTATAAAGTAGACCTAGAAAGGGAAGGAAAGCTCCTGGTCTCTGTACATTCTGTGCTCAAGTGTACCTGTGTTACCACCTGGATGAATGAAATTGAGTGAAGCCCTACTAAATTCTGTCTAGAACTGTGTAACTCAGTGTGTCCCTGATGCTCTTTCCTTGTTTTGTAACTCAGACACAGTTCCTAATTCTTGCAAAAAGAGGTTGTTGTGAAGTTCTCTTGGCAATAGAACCAAAGAAGCCCTAGTGGTGGACAACAATGCTCATAATCCATACAGCCACTGATGTGTGTTAAGTTTTATTAACTGATTAAAGACTGGAAAGCAGTGGTGGTGTGAATTTTTACCCAAAGCAAGCCAGGGGAAGTTGGGCATGCTCTTATTTGATGGTTTGCCTCACACCTGGTATGTAATCTTTCAGTGTTAAAGATTCTTGTCACTGACAAGAAGTCTTATCTGAGCACTGTGTCCACTCTTCAGAAAGTATTTCCAGGGATAGTAGCAACCCTATTTTTTAAAATTATTTGGTTTTTAGTTCACAGGCTGTGTTGCATACTTTGCTTTGTTCCTTCAATTGCAGTGATGATGTACAGTGTAGTCTTACTTTCAATATTCTGTATGTTTTTGTTAGTAGACACTACTTACTGATTTCCTTTTCTTTTAACTAAAGAAGAGATTTTAGCTATGCTGCAATAAATAAAATTGTTGTAAACTGAAATGATAGCCTGTGTTTTGTGGGTATAGGTATGTGCATACAAATATGTAGAGAGTGAGCTCTTTCAATTCTTTTCTTCTCTGTTTAGGCTTTCATACTCACATCTCCATGTGCTTCATTAAAAGACTTAGGCCCTTGATCCAAAATCAGGCTGAAGTTGAATATTGGTGCTTGCTTGGCACCAGTGGATTTTAGATCAAGCCCTAGTCTTCACCACTCTTACCTCTCAGATTTGAGGATACTTCATCATCCTTTTCTGTTGTTTTGGTTTTATTTCATTAGAATGAGAACTACCATATTGTTAATATGTGAGTTCAGTGGGTATCTGTACCTAAATGTGATTGATGATTAATTTTTTCATTCCATCAGAATTACTCATCTCTCTCTTTCAAACACTGCCATGTATTTGAATTCATATTATGGGTTTAATTCAACAAACCAGCATTTGTAATCACAAACACATTTCACAGGGCATGCCTACAGCTGGCATGCTTATTGCTGAAAATAACCTTTTTCCATGACAAAAAGTAGAAATCACTCACAGACTGCAGGGTTTATCAATGCCTTTGTTAAACCCAACTAAACTTAATTTTAACTTGAAACAGCTGAGAATTATGGAGAGCTTCTGTTTGGTCTTGTGCAGTGCAACTGACTTGAGAAATTACTAGCCTGTTTTTTGCTTTGTTATTTGGTGGAGTGACTTCAGGGGTATGATCCATATCTTTCCTGCCTTCTCTCCGAGAATAGCTTGCATGTGAGGCTAATTTTATTTTTAATGTGGGAGAAGTGCTCCATAGAAAAGCAAACAAATCTCTCTCAGTTAGGAAGATACTGCACCCCAGTGACTGTCCCATATTAAATTGCTTCTCTGAAACAAGACTGAGTTAGGTTGCCTCAAATCCTTTTGTGGATGAAAAACAGGATCAACAAGGAAGAGGAACAGGAGAGTGTGGGCCTGTAGGAAAGTGGATTTTTAGGAAGACCCTTTCTACATTTAATCAGAAAAAAATCTAACAAACATGAGAAAATGGCCTGGTTGCATATTTATGCAGGAAGGCAGGTAAATGTCCAGTGAACACTGCAAACCCAAAATTCAAACTGTTTATTCAGTGAAGGGAAATGTGACTGAACAGCATCTGGCTGCACAAGTACATGACAGAGCTATTTAAGAAAACAATCCATTGCTGTCCCCCAGACATCCCAGTAAATGGAGGCTGTGGAAAGTGACTTTAAATTTCTCTGAGTGGCAATTCAGAAGCTTCTGAGATCTAACAAATGCTGACACCCTGACTGATTCTGCCTCTAAGCTGGAAATGCACAGAAAAGCAGGATTTGTCCATCAGGAATCCTTTCCTGAGGGTGGTTCCATGCCTTTGCCACAATAGCTCAACTCCCAGCTGTGCAAGGGGTATGCTGAGGGTCTCTTCATCTGAGGGATGCCATTGTTCCTTGTGGATTGACAGTTCTTTCCATGGAATATAAAACAGAATGTGACATCCAAGTCTTCCAAGATGCTAATGTGTCAAAAATATTTAGGACTTTCTTTTTCTCTAAAGAGAAATGAATAATTTTTATTGCACATTCTTGAGCTATAGTCAAGGAAGAACTGAATTTAAGTCTTCCAGACCTGGAAATTCTTAATTTATATGAAAATATTAGAAGCGAGACAAATTTTAATGCATCTAAAGCTGAGTTTTATGAGTTTACAGAAGGATGGGAAAAGTGTGATGTTGCCTCATGGCCACTGTTCCACAGAAAGAATTATTTGGTCACTAAAGGAGAGCAGGAAGGATTGGACTGGTTGTGTTTCCCATTCTGTTTCTCTCCCACTTTTCTGGACTGATTTTAAGTTTTTAATTTGAATTCCAGCCACATTGAGTTGCTGAGGAACCCAGCACTTTTACATTGAGTTTGCAGTGGAATTCAAACTTTATTCCCATATCCCTAACCTGTAAGCTGGGAATAATATTTACACACTGAACTGGTTTAAAAATTGCAATTTTCTTGTTTGCCCCAGTATCCCACAACTGGCACAGCCAGGTAGTACTGCCCAAGTGAGGGTGGTACAGTGCTTCCTATTACTGGGAGCTGGGCTAGTCTAAAACAGCCACAGATCAAAAAAAAATTAAACCAAACCAAAACAAAAAGTATTTCCAGGATTAAAATAATTCTATTTCAGTGTGAGATCTTAAGACTGTACCTGTTTCACACAGAAAACAAGGTGAAAATATGAAGGTGACAGTCTTCCCCCCCTTCCCTCCCCCCAGTAGTGGTCTCTCTAATGACTGGAGAGAGTAATTTAATTAAAACTTTTTTCCAAACCTTTTCCCCAAGACACACGAACCCAGATCATAATACAGTGTTTAGCTATCAGTTATCTCACTGGCCCAGAAGAGTTTGAAGAACTACAGAGCAGCAGTGAGAAATGTTTCCCATGTACCAAGCTGATCTGCAGCCTGAGCTGTGAGATCACCAGACATCCTGTGATATGTCCTGCACATATCCATTTTGCAAGGTGCAATGGCTTTTATTAATGAAGCTCAGTTTTCTTTTGGCATGTTCAAGTTTGTAAAAATCTTGTAATCACTTCATATTTCTACTATAAATTTGAAATATCCTTAGCTCCTGCATATAATGCATGTTCATATATATGTTCATATATGGGACATACACTTGTGTAAGGTAAAGATATTTCTTACAAGGAATATTAATATCTAAGAGATAAGGTTAAAATAATTGAAGTTTAATTTTATAAAATAAATTAAAGCCTGCTCTAACAGCCTTAAAAAATTAAAGTAAGCGTAATATATTAAGCAAAACTAAGCTTCAGATTTCATAAATACCACCTTGCTTTATACCACAGCTGCTGATTATCCTGCCAGTACATGCTTAGATGCAATTCCAGTGGAGAGTCACCATTTCCCTGAGATGCATGTGAAGGCTGCAGCGCTAGGGAGGCCTTTCTGGGATGGGATGCCATCCTAAAGACCCGGGAACAGTCTGGAATAAACTCATATTGGCAGGGGGAATGCTCCAGGGGGTTTACTGAGTAGCCTTCCCATCACACTGCATGTCAGCACAGAATTGGGTTCAGTTTGTTTTTAAGAAAATGAATGAAGCCTCTATACAGCAATGGTGCCTATCTGAGGGAAATCACAGGCATTTGAAGTAGGATTTTTCTGTTTGTTCTTGGCTTTGCAAGTACTACTTTGCCCTGAAGTTATTCTGAGCAAAATTCCATCTGTCGCTCTCTGTCTGTATTTACTGTGTCCGTGGTTATTTGATCAGACTGTGACTCCTGCCATATGCAAAAGGCATTGGATTGTTGTGTTTTCCTTCATTTTTGGCCACGTTTAATGCCCCGTGTCAGCTCTCAGTCTTATTTGCAACCCTGACTGCTAAGTTCCGAGGTGGCTGCCGCAGTGTGTTTGCATCAGCAAGCAAGAGTGATTGGAGTGTTAATCAGTACTAATCCCGTTACCAGAGCAGAAAAATATCAAAGCCTGACTAGGAGTCAAAATAAGGGATTATCAAGCCCAGTTTTTCTTGGGGATCTCATAAGATAGTACAGCTCTAGTTTGACTGTAGATGAAGCAGTGAGCTTTTGACAAAGAGCCCATCCAGGGGAATTGTTCCAAATCCCAAATTTTACAAGTCAAACACAACACCTTGACCACAGATGCCTTCCCCTCAGTTTAATGTCACTGCAGAGGGGTTTGTACTGGGGAGCGACTCTTTATAGGAGGGGAAAATGTTCCAGTAGCCTGGAACTGTAACTCTTACGAGAAACTTGTGCCAAGGTAGCATCCTGTGACCAACCAGGTCAATGTTATGGTTATAAATCCAGCAAGTGGTAGTTTTTGATCATAGTGACCCTTTGGGTACTCTGAATTGTCCTATGAGCAGTTCCAGTGCTCCCTAGTTCTGATCCCAGGTGCTTTTGGGGTGCCTGTGATGAGGGTATGTCATTAATTGGTTCAGTGATGCTGAAATCCTCACATTCTACCCCAAAACCACCTCCCAGACTAGATGATTCTGAAGGCAGCAGTGTGCCAATGCAGGGTGGAGATTGTCTTTGATATTTGGCCTTGCAGGAAAGCAAGGAGAGAGTGCTGAGAAGGCTTTGGTTTCTAAAGCCCTGCAGATTTTAGGGAAGCTCTGAGCACCTGAGGGCTCCTAAAAGCTTATCTTTGTTTCTACACCTTGCCAGGAAAGTATTTTGAAACTTTGGAAAGCAAAGTTCCACAAAGCTATCTTCTAAAAATCTGTATTTCCACTGCAGCCAGATGCTATTTTCCCTGCTTTCCCTCACTGTGAAGTGAGAAAGAAAATCTAGGATCCTGTGTCCTATACAGCCACTGAGGTGTTCTGGCTCTTTAGGCAAACAGTCTGGAGTTTCACCTGTGGGTTTAGGCAAATGTCTTTGCAATTTGAGACTGTTGGAGTACAAGTCCAACATGCTTAAAGATAAAGCACTGCACAGCTAAACAAACAAAATCTAGCCATAATGTCAAGACAAATTCCAGATTTACTGATCAAAAATTAAGTTTAGTTTTTTTTAAACCTCATGAAAGAAGATTGTATGAAATCCACTGAGGTTCAAAGCTGAAATTGAAATGATAAAATCGATGAAATTATAAAACTGATGAAGTGATAAAACCAATGAAGTGATAAAATTGATGAAGTGATAAAACCCATGAAGTGATAAAACCGATGCCCACACTGAAGTTCAGAATATTTCAACGTTAGATTTTGCATTTAAGTTAATGCCACCCCACAAATACATCTCAATGTTTAAAACAAAAAAAAAACCTTCATGGCCGATTAGATTCCAGGAAACCAAACCCTTTAAAATCATTGCTGCTCAGCATCACAGCCACAGCACTAAACCTGCTCAGACACACGTACCTCGAGAATGGTGCAAATCTAGAAAAACCTCACCCCCACTCGTGCGAGTCGATTCCCACCAACAACAACCACCACCCTCCAAATTAGCACTGAACCCCTAAAAGCCCAGGCAGGTGCAGGGAGGTGCTGTCCCTGCTGGCCCTAAAGCTGTGGGGTTGTGTGGCGCCGTCGTGTCGCAGTCTCTAATCTTTGCTGTTGCATGTCCTGGGCAGGCAAGCGTGGGCGACGCAGCAGTGCAGGATCGCTAGACAGCAATATGGAAGTAAGTAGGAAGTTCCTGATGTCTAGCTGGATGTGATGATGTGCATTTCAAACCTTTCTTTTTTATACATACATATTTTTTTGCTCTTTTTTCTTCTAACATATATATATATATATATATATAACCTGCCTGCCACAAATAAAATGCATGCCTAGGCTACTCACTCTGTATTCTTCCAGCTTACAAAGCACTGACAGCTTGTTTTAGAGCAATGCCATTTTTGGTTTGAGCTAACCTTGTTCCCTTTGTTCCTGCAAGCATGGTTAAATGGATATGATGTGTCCTTTTGCCACCATTTCAGTCTGGTCCCAGCTTAAAAGCCCACTTGCTCTTTGTTGCCGAGTACACTGTTCTTGCTGTTTGATATTTAGCTACAACTATTGACTGTCATGCTCAACCATCCCCATTGCTTATTTTCGAGTTCAATTGCTAAATGTATGCAGTCATGACACCATGGAATTGCACAGATAGGGCATGGGAGGATAAAAAGATTATTCAGATAGGTGAATTCAATGTGGATTTCATGAGATTTCATTCATCTTCAAACCATTTATATATACTGTTCATGTCTCTGAATTCAGCTTGCAGATTTTTCTTTTTTTTCTCTTTTTTTTTTGGGTTTTTTTGGTTTTTGTTTGGTTTTTTTGTTTGTTTTTTTTTTGGTGTTTGGCTTAGGTAGATTGCAGTTTAAGTCTAGCACACTTTGCCTAAGTACTGTTATGCCCCATGACTCTTTAAAAATACAACTTCCAGCAACTAAATTCCAGGCTAAATAATAGAGAATGTTGGACCACAGGTCAGAATAATACAAGCACATAGAAATCTTAGTGGCAAAAATGATATGGTTCCATTTAACACAAAATTTAGAGGTAGGCCTGAGAAGCAGCACTGTCATGCATAGTAGTGGAAAACTACTATAAATAAAGATTTAAATACCATTTTAAAATCTGAACTGTAACATTTGCTGCTGAGTGCTTAATTAAGGTTGAATTTAATGTAGCTTTATTTTTTTGTGTGTGTGGTAAAAAAGCAAATATGGTATTTTTTGCAGTATTTTAAAATGTATTTTTCCTTTAAGAGCACACTCGTAGGTCTTGTATCATGTTACTCTTCCGTGACTTTTTTTTTTTTAATTCAAAGTCTTATCTTTTGATGTCAAAATACTGAGAGAAAAATCACTCGGTGCTTAACATCCCCTAAGAAGGGCACAAGTGCCCCATTGGCAACTTAGGGAAGGTGAAGATAAAATTTTCCCTAGAACTCTTTAACATAATCCACCCATGCGAACCCTAAAGGAGGAGTTTGTGGGTTGGTGTGAACTTTTTCCTTTTTTTTTTTTTTTTAAATTTTTTTTTTTTCCTTTTCAAACATTTCAAGATTTTTTTTTTTAATTTTTATTTTCTATTAATTTCTTTTTAGGGGTCCATCATTAGCAGTCCTCACATGCGCCGAAGAGCTACATCAACCCGAGAGTGTCCATCTCGCCCTCACCAGACTATGCCCAACTCCTCCTCCCTCCTAGGGTCCCTGTTCGGTAGCAAGAGGGGCAAGGCCCCGTCCCAGAGCCACGCGGCCCCGCAGGCCCCGCACCACGCCGAGGGCGCGGCGGCCGCTCCGCACCCGCACCACGGCCCCTACTGCCACCAGAACCCGCCGCCCTACCACCACCACCACCACTACCACCCGCCCCCGCACCCGCACCCGCACCAGTACCACCAGCACGGGCACGGGCACGCCCACGGCCCCTTCCTGCCGCACGGGCACCACGGCCCGCACCACCACGGGCCGCCCCCGCCGCCCGCCGCCAGCACCAAGCCCAAGCACAGCGGCATCAGCACCATAGTCTAGGCCTAAAGGCCTCCTCATGACTCTAGTTCTGAACAAGGCACTTGCAGGAAGCAACAAACCACACCGTTAGGCCGTTCCATGAGCTTCACGGCTTGCCGTTCCTAAATAAAATCATTCCGGTTAGCCCAGGCCATCCTGGTTTTACTTATCTACTGGATAGATGCTCACCACCATCTGGTTAGGTCTTATTTCCAAACTTGCCTTGAAAACGTGCTGCTTGCTGAATCTGAGGAAAGCTACCTTTTACACCCAACCCCTGGACAATTTTACACGCATAATGAAAAGTTAGCCTATGGAAAAAAAACAGGGAAAAAAGTGAGACAGAACCAAGTGTTGCATTCTTGCTCTTTTATTCTCAATGGGCAAAAAAAAAAAAATAAGTAGACCTGATATGGTTGATGAAAGTACGTAAGTAAACTTTATATAATATAAATATATACATATAAATATATATATATACTGTATAATTAACATTTGTGCTTGGAAAGAAATTTTTTCAGTCCACAAAACTAGCAATATAGACTTTACAAGGAATTCCACTTACTTGATAGGACAGTATAATAGATGAATAGCATATGAAAGAGTAGACCAAAAACATTAAACATTAGAAACCAATTTCAAACATTTCAATATTTTCATCACAAGTCCTCCGGACCTGTTAAGATTTCTAAGCAATCATTACTAAATGTGCCAAGTAACATAGCATTTAAATGTTGTAGTCCAATACTGCTTTGTATAAATCCTTATTTTATTAACACGATGATACCATACGTAATCAGTATTAGAGCTGCTCTGCTATTTCAGGTAAGCAAACTCGTTAAGATGCAGTAATTATTCCGTAGCAATGGAGGGTGCCCACTTACCAGGGGGCACCTCCAAGCATTGGTCACACAAGTTCTTAGACACTTTAAAGGCTGTGATAACTGTGAATTTACATGATCCACATTTCTTTTGTAAGCATATGGATTGAACGAGCACACGGGAAGAGTTCCGCCAGGTGCATGTAAACACTGCAAAAACATTCATCTCAAACATGAAAATGGCAAATCTCCATCCTTCTCAGCTACTTTGGTTCCTGTTTACCATAATTTCTCATTTCTACCCCCAGCAAAGCTGAATTCTAGTCCAGAGTGTTTCCAGTGGAAGTGCTCTTAAACTTGAAGGTTTGTTTTAGAATTTAATATAGGGTTTTTATATATATATATATTAAAAAAAAATCTGTAATTCCATGTAGCCATGTGCTAGCAACGAAGTGGCTTTACCATTTTTACTCATCACATTTGTTAGTTTGAAGCACCCAGCACTCAGCAGGCTGAGTTTATGCTCAAACCCTCCCTTCCATAGTCCAGTTAGTTGCAAGACATCACATAAAAATAGGCTGTGCTGTTGTTGCTTATGTGTTGTAACCAAACCATTTGCAAATTTCTCTACAATTTGTATCCCAAAATCCTGTACAAAGTTATCCATGGCACCTACTTTGTAGTTTCAGCACTTTGAGCCACTGCAAGGACTTAACACCTAAACAGTAGAGACAAAGGAATCACAACTGCAAAACTGTACCAGCCTAAAAGCAAACCTTGAAGAGGATGAGCAAAAAGTTCCAGTAAGAGATGGGTAAAAGTAATCAAGCTCCAACCAGTCGGGTTTCTGTGTAACAGTAATAAAAGTGTCCCAAATTAGGAGGACATGGGAGCAACAGAGTGACTTTGTCACGTTGGCTTGCTCATGGCATCTCTAGCGTGGGGAGGATGGGAGAGGTTCAGTCATTTTTTCCCTTTCATACCATGGATACCACAATACCAGCAAAACTGCAAGCTGAGCACTTTGTTCACCTCCACAGAGAGCAAATACAGCAATCTAGAGTTTAGCCTTTTGTTCCCAGCAGTCCACGTTTGTTTCACACATGTGCAATATGTTTTCCCCTTCTGCTCCTTCTCCTCGGAATGATCTCCATGAAAAGAAAACAAGTGATTATTATTTTTCTGTATCACTCACTCTATTCTAAATTCTGCGGCTTGCCTTAAGAGGGCTCACATGGGTCTCTTGAGGCTCTGTTCCTTGCAGTTTAAAAAATATATACTGTTCTTATAAGGGAAAGTAGAACTGTCTGCATGTCATCTAATGTTATTAGTGTGAGGCTACACTCTACATATTGTATAATTGCAAAATATATCAGTGTTACTGTTGATATTAGTTGAAGTAAAGTGATAACATACTTCAATATGTAGACTTTTCTTCCTACATCTGTACCAATAGTAGAGTCTAACTGTTACTTATAGGTTGTTCCAGAAAAGATAAAGAACCATTTAGGTGCAAACATCTCTCAGAAACTGCATCTTTTAATTAAAACAGAGGTGAGAAAGCTCCTCTTCACTGGGCGACAGGCTGTACTTGTTTCAAATGAAGAGGCAAAATGAAAGTAAAATTCCTGTATATGGAATAAAGGCAGAATATGCAGTAGCGGTGGAGAGGAAAATTTTACTCACTATGTTGATTAACACTGAAGATGTTAAATCTCCCAGGTCCGCATTTGCTTTATGTTTAAAAAACCCTTTCATTCATTTAAATTAGAGTTACATATAAATATTCTTACTTAAACAGTAAGCCACAGTTTAATGCCTGACCACTGATTTTCCACGTGCAATCAATGTATTTGTGAACCAAAGTGTTGAGGAGATGTCACAAACGTGCATGCACAAAAACATTTCCACATGATTCCATGGACACTGGGGAGGAGGCTGTGCCTGCCCTGGGCATGCAGGGGGTGCAAAATCACAGATTTGATGTGAGGGATTTGAAATCACAGATCATTTGGAGGCTGGTTAGAAACCAAAACTGGTCACGTGAGAGCACAGGATTTGGAAACTCTGTTCTTTCAAGCCAAGGAGGAGAAACAGTGGACTTGACATTTTCTTTTTCCTAGTTCTGTTCTGTTTTGTTTCTTAGACTGTGTGTTTCTGTGTACTCCAACCAACCAAACGTGTCTTGGTGTCAGCACAAGTCTCCAGAGCTTTGCTGCTTGTTTAGGGTTGGAGTAAAACCTCTCTGACTCCGTCCTTGATCAACAATGGCTTAGAGCAGTGTGGGTCATACCTAGAATAGGAGAATTCCAGCATTTAACACGGCATGGGGTTAAGAAAATGAATTAAAATGAATTCTTCAGACAGCAGGCAGAAGTAGAATGGAGAGGGTTTTTTCTCAGATGCCATTGCCAATTACAAACTGGTACAGAAGTGCACAGAGTTACCGTGGTTCTCTCTTCCCATAAATGATGTGGCAAAGCAGTAATGCTGATTTGAACAAATGAAAGGAAAACGTAATGAATGAAGGTGTGGCAACAAAAAAAAATCTTTTCTGGGACAACAATTAAATATATATTTGGGGTTTTTATTTTTTTAAGTTAAAAATGAAATGTAAAACAATGTAAAAAACCAAAAAATCAAAGTTCATCCTAATATAATGTGCGTCTTGTATTGCTAAAAAAAAAAGTCTAACATACAGTGTAGAATGATTTTCCCATCATGTACTGCATGCAGCAGAAGCCTCTTGTTTCTTGATAAAATGAGCTGAAAGACAGTCAGCAGATATTTAAACACTGAATCTCTAGATGTTGACTTGCTGTTCCATATGAAGCTGTGTGTTTTCTGCAGTTAAGCATGCATTTTGCTGTTCCCTTGTAAAATACCATCGCACTTCTTGCCTGCAAAATGGATTCTCGTGTATATATTTCAAAGAAAAG